CAACGATATGTAAGGAAAATGACAGTTGGCTTCGCAAACAGAGTCAGGGAGGAGTGGGCCCTGGAGAGTGGCCTGCACGTACCCCGAAAAGGGGCAGCCGCTACTCTGTGCCTGCCAGTTGTTGTCTCACAGGAGCGCCGTCTTGGCTGAGGTTTTAAATGTTGGCATAAGTTTTACAATTGTTAGCGCAGGCTGGCTCCCACCCTGTGGAGCTAAGCAGAAACTGGAGGCCTGGCCTTGCAGCCTGGGGCCAAGGTGAGGCGAGGCACTGAAGGCGAGATGAGGCACTGAAGGCGAGACATGAGGGACTTGCCACCCCCACATCCCTTCCTGCGGCGGCCAGCTCATGCAGCCAGGCAGGAGAGGGGGCAGTCTTTCTGAAGTGAGCAGCCCAGGGCCTCCACATACTGACCTTAGGGAATCTCCCACAGAATAAAACCAGGAACTTGACTTGGGATCATCCTGAGGCAGTGCCCAAGGGTAGACAGGCCTGCTCTCTCCCTGTCCAGGGGCCTAGCCTTAAATACCATCCTGGGCCAATGGCTCCCAAATTGGCATCTCCACCCTCAACACTTCCCCTGAACTCTAGATCCAAACTCAACACCTCCACTTAGAAATCCACTGGCAATTTAAGCTTAACATGCTCAAAACACACCACTTGACTTCCACCTCCAAACCTGTTCCTCCTGCAGTTTCGCCATCTCGGAAAACGGCAAATCCATTCAACCAGTTTTTCAGGCCCAAACCCTTGAAGGCACCCCTGGCTCCTCTCTTTCTCTCACACCTGCCTCCAATCCAACAGCAAACCTGGCTGTTCAGCCTTCAGAATACATCTGTTTTACCACCTTCTTCACTACACGCCAGTCAAGTCCACCCTCATTTCTCACTTGCGCTATTTTAGTAGCTTCCTATCAGATATCCAATTCTGGTCTCCCCACGGCATTGTAGGGCCCCAGGCAGCAGCCAGGGTGGTGTCCCAACTGCTCTGTAGGACTCTACACAGGACTCTGCTCCACACCTCACATCACACTCAGAGCAAAGACTAAAGTCCCTTTCCAGAGTTACTCAATAAATATTTGTTCATTAGTCACACGAGACACGCAAATTAAAACCACAGCAAAACACCATCTCAAAACTCATCAGTGGGGCCAGCGCAGTGGTGCAGCGGTTAAGTGCACAGGTTCTGCTTCAGCGGCCCAGGGTTCGCCCGTTCGGATCCCTGGTGCAGACACAGCACGGCTTGGCAAGCCATGCTGTGGTAGGCATCCCACATATAAAGTAGAGGAAGATGGGCACGGATGTTAGCTCAGGGCCAGTCTTCCTCAGTGAAAAGAGGAGGATTTGCAGCAGTTAGCTCAGGAATAATCTTCCTCAAAAACAAACCCAAAAAAACCCACAACAACAAAAAGTTAAAAAAAAAAAACAAAACTCATCAGAGTGGCTAAAACGGAAAAGACAGATAATACTAAGTGTGGTCCAAGATGTGGAGCAACAGGAATGCTCACCTACTGCTGGCAGGACTGTAAACTGGTACATCCTCTTCAGAAAACTACCTGGCAGAATTTCACACCTGATGACACAGCAATTTCTCTCCTATTATCAGTTTATCCCCAGCAGAAATGAATACATACATAACCAAAGGACACAGGCAAGAATGTTCATAGCAACATTATTCACAGTTTGGAGATTATCCAGTTTCCTCAAGAGCTGCATGAATAAATTGTCATATATTCACAAAACAAAATACTACACAGCACTGGCTCTCAAGGTGCTGTCTCCAGACCAGCAGCACCAGTATCAGCTGCAAATTTGGTAGAAACGCCAATTCTCAGCCCCACTCCAGACCTACAGAATCAGAAACTCTGGGGGTGGGACTTAGCGTGCCTTAATAAGCCTTCTAGGAGCTTCTGATGTATGCCAAAGTGTGAGGACCAGTTCTCTACAGCAATGAACCTGATGAGTTTGATCACACTGAGATCATTAAAAATTCCATTGGGAAGTTGGAAGATGGCTATCAGTAGGTACCTAGAAAACTAACTGAACAAAAAATTTTCTTAACTTTAAGGAAAATACACCTTGTATAAGAAAGAAAAGAATACTTAATACAACTATACTGCCCAGCTCAACCATGCTTTACAATTATATGGTCATCAGAATGAGAACATGAATACGAATAAACCAAACAGGTAACGTGGCCACACAACACAAGTACAATGCCTAAAACGGACGACTCAAGAAAGAGTGGTAGAAGCCCGTTATTTGAAAATGAGTGTAAGTATCAGAAAATTGAAAACAGTGACCTCTGGGGAAAAGGATGAGGATGACAGGGGATAGGGAACTGATGTTTTTCATGACATTCCTTTTAGCAATATTTCACTTTCTAAATTTCCTGTGTGAATAACTGAAAAAAACTAAAATCACAAATCAAAAACAACACCGTGTTGGCAAAGCAAGCCAGACACGCAGGTGATACTGGGTCAGAGCCCACCAACATGCGCTCTCTGCTCCAGGGAGGGAGGTGGAAAAGCATCCACATTCAGAGCCCACTCTGGGGAAAGCACCCCCCCACACCCGGACCAGGGACAATACGAAGCTGGGAGGAGGCACAGGAAAGATGAGGAAGGTCACAGGGGAAGGTCCTGGAAGGAAGGGGCCCTGGAGGGAGACTATGGTTTTCAACAAGCATAGGCCAGAGGAAAGGCAGGAAAATGCAATATATATTTTGAAAACGCCAAGTAGAGTAGTTAAATCTGGCTGGACAAAGGGCTGGTCCACACAGGAACTGCTGGGACAACAAGCCCCACTTCTCAAGACTGGGCCTTGGGAAGCATAAGCCGCAAGGGTGTGTAAGGGCGACTAGAGAGGCAGAGGTCTGGAGGACTGAGATTTTGTTTTTCTGCTTTGTCCTGAGATTTTATTACCAGTAAATAGAGATGGATCTAAACTGAGCCTTCAAGGCGCCTCCCTCGAGTGAGGCTCTGCTAAGGACCCTAGCAAAGTGTTCTCATGGTCATACATGAACACCTTTTCTAAATTTACGAAAGTCAGCTATTCTAACTGTAGCTACAACCGCCGTCTCTTTCCACCATGACCTCCCCTCCACCATATGTTGTGTCAGGTGGCATTGGAGCGGGTACTGGCATTTTTGGCTAAAGTTAAACTGAGTGGAGATGAATTTACTTTGGGTTTGATGGGATATACCTGTGGGGTTTGCAGTTGCATCTCTCTGTGAGAAATTATTAGCCATCCTGTGTAGGAGTGGCTTCCAGAAACGCTTCTACTGCCCACCACACCGACTGACTTGGCAGCGATGTAAACAGCAGGACCAGACGAGTATGTGCAGTGGCAGCCGGCACACGGGCTCATGGAATAACCGAGGCCTCAACATACTGAGCCAGGAGCTAGTCTGTGGAAAATTCTTTCCCATCTTACAACTAATATATAAAAGAAAACTGACAAGAGTCTAAAATTTGACGGCAATCCTAAAAATTTATATGACCCTGCCAATAACAAGTTTGAAGCCAAAATAAACTTTTCTAAACCAACAGTAATCAATTTCAGTTAGCTGTGCTACAGGAAAGACTGAATTTATCTTCCTCTGCTCTCCATAGAAAATACTACAAAATCGTTGTCATTCGAAGATGTAAAGAATATGAAGCCAAAAAATGTGAAAAATTGTTACAGAAGATTGAGAAGCAGTTAAAGAATTATTTTTATGCATTTTGTTACATTTGTTAGCATCTTAACATTCATACTGTTGTGATTTTTCTTATTCTAAATAAACAATTTTTTTTTTAAAGATTGGCACCTGAGCTAACAACTCTTGCCAATCTTTTTTTTTTTCCTGCTTTTTCTCCCCAAATCCCCCCTAGTACATAGTTGTATATTTTAGTTGTGGGTCCTCCTAGTTGTGGCATGTGGGACGCCGCCTCAGCATGGCCTAATGAGTGGTGCCATGTCTGCGTCCAGGATCCGAACCCTGGGCCGCCAAAGCGGAGCACGCGAACTTAATCACTTGGCCACGGGGCTGGCCCCTAAATAAACAATTTTATACCGAATTTTAAATTTGTAATTTTGTATTTTTATTAAAGAGGGCCCTTAAGTTATCTAAGCTTCAGGCCCAACAAAACCTGGATCTATCCCTGCAGAACAATTGAAAAAAGCACAGTTTTCTATGATAGTTTTGTTCACATCACATAAAAGTCAGGGACAATGACACTGATCTCTTGGGAGCTCCCTCACGGACTCAGCACACGGACTGTCTCAAAAGCAGCTGAGAATAGCAAACTTAATAAAATAGCAGAACCCTGGGGGCTGCAGAGGGGGTGGGCGTGTTGGGCCACAAGACACAGTAACTGCACCAAACGCTCCCCCAGCCAAGAGGACTCAGCAAAGGATCACCACTAACTTCCTTTCAGACCCCTCTGGGCTATCCAGCTAAAGGCCAGATTTTCTCCAACCAGTACCCCATCAGTGAGAACATTAAGACAATTTGCTCCTCTTTACACAGGTTACAATGACCTTGTGTGGCTTCTGCTTGTCCCAGCCACAGACCATTCTAGCCACTCTCTCCCCCACTGCCTGGGAGGCAGGAGGCATCAGCATAACGCCCAGAGGGAGCCCAGAGTCCTGGGTCCCTGACTGGACTGCTAAGGCAGAATCTTTATTTCACCCTTACCCAACTTTTTAAAAAAAGCTTTTTTTGTTGTTGGCAAATTGCAAAACATAAGATAACTCTTGAATAATTTAAAATTCGTAAGACCCTCAGAATTGTGCCTGCCATATTGCAAGCTCTATATATGTATTTGTTTAAAAAATATATAATTTAAAAAACTCCCTGTGTCTTCAAGGATCTAAATTTGAAAAACCACAGAAACCCATAACAACTCATCAGGATTTACACAGTAGTGTCTGAATCCTAAACTGACTTCTCAAAGCCTGAAGGAGGCAAAATTTCACAGTGGAACATGAAAGTTCCTAAATATCCCGATGATGCTTACCCTGGGCAGGAGGTGAGCGGCTTGGAGGGAGGGAGGGCAGGACAGACAGTGCTCCAGCAAGAATGTTTGCCCTGCAGCTACAAGTTTCATCACTCTAGCATTAAGGTTTTCCTACGTGAGGGAAGGTGACAGAGCCAAAGAATAAAGTTTCACAACACTCCTTTTAAGTCATGTATTCCTTATGGGCTGAGTCTTGGGTCCTTAAAACCACAGAGGGAGGGCCCTCCAAAACGTGTCCACTCAAAGTTGAAGATTAACTTTTTTTTTTAACATTAACAGTAGTTATCTTTCTTTCTTCCTTTCTTTCTTTTTTTTTTTTTTGGCAGGGGAAGATTCACCCTAAGCTAACATCTGTTGCCAATCTTCCTCCTGTTTTCTTCTTTTTCCTTTCCCTCCAAAGCCCCAGGGCATAGACGTGTATAGTTGTAAGTTCTTCTGGCTCTTCTACGTGAGTTGCTGCCACAGCACGGCTACTGACAGACAAGCAGTGTGGTTCCACACCCGGGAACCCGGCCTTGGCCCATGAGGCAGAGCATAAGGGACTTTAAACCACTAGGCCATCAGGGCTGGCTCCGAAGATTAACTTTTAAAGTGGATTAGAGGACTCACACCAAGGTAAAGCAGTATCCACTGTGCCTATGATGATTTACTTCAAATTTAAGATTGGTTAACAGAAAATTTTAACATGAAGAGAAAACTTGTAAGAGAAAAACATTTTCAGACTGCTAGACCTGAAAAAAAAATGCTGTTTGGATATAAGTCAGTCTGCCCACATGGCTCCTTCTCCTGTCCATCTTCATCCTCCAAATCACCAGAACGCAATCGTGGACCTTAACAAGCAGAGCATGAGCAAGCCATCTACCCTGCCCTGAAAGTCCTGAGACCCAACCCCCCTCACTCGCCTGCCAACAGGACTGTGGACCTACTATGTGTCAGGGCTGCTGAAGGTACTGAGGAAATGTGGGGAACAAAACACACGGAGATGAAAGTGAGCAAAGACAGGAGGTGCACTCCATTCTCAGACTCTAGTCTCAGGTCTTCAGCTCTGCGGCTTGATGTTCATCCTTCCACCCAGTGTGAACGAATCCCTCCCACCACGGAGCGGAACCTCTTTCAGGCTGTGGGTCAGAGTAAGTTTGGATTCACGACGCTTGAGGAAAGACAAACAGCGAGCCTGCCAGATCTCCAGGCGGCTGGGGTTTAGACCTAGGGGCAACCACACCCCTGTCCCGGCCACGGGATCAAATCAGAGGTTCCTAAAAACGAACAGCTGCGGCATTCAAGCCTGGAAGGGATTTTTAAAGCCCCGAATTGATTCGCATAGTCAATATATTTTAGCCTGCTCTCTCCAACGCAAAAGTCAAGTCACCTACAGCTAGCCACGCCGCTGCCAAAGGAGAGGGGCTGTCCCGCACGCTTCACCGGCGCCTGCCGCCGCCACCGGAGAGGGCGAGACGATACGGGAGAGAGGTGCTCACCGCCCCCGCCCCTGGGGTGGAGAAGAGAAGGTCTGTGCCGCAAACCAACACAAAGACTTATTTCACCCTATCACGCCCCGGTCTGCGGACACCGGGCGCCCAGAGCACGCGGCCGAGGACCCCCCGCCCCGCGGCCGCACGCGGTCCCGGGCCTGGCTCCCCACGAGACCCGCAGGAGCTCCGTTCTTCCGACGTGACTTCTGCTCGGACTTTCAGAGGTTCTGACCGGGCGTGATGCGGCGCAGCGCCGCCCGGCCCGCGGGTCTGCGTTCCCCGGGACCCTGCCGGGGCGGGGGAGGAGGCCGTGCGCTCACCTGTCCCGCCCGCAGCGCCAGCTGCACGGCCGCCTCGAAGCACTCCTGCCAGGGGCCGCCGGCGGTCTCCTCCTCGTCCTCGCGGCTCGGCTTCATCGCGGCCTCGCCGGGCCCCGCCACCTCCAGCCCTCCTCGCCGGGCTCCCACCGGCTCCCGCCGTCCCGAAACCAGGCTCCGTACTCCCTCCCCTTCCTCCCGCCACTCCGCGCCTCAACCGCCGCCCGCCCAGCCCCAGTGACCGCGGGAAGCGCAGGACGCCGGCCCCGGCCAGGGGAACCGCCCGCGCGCCCCGCCCCGCGCCCGGCCACGCCCACTCCTGGCCCCGAGCCCCGCCCCCGCAGAGCCCCGCCCTTCCCCGCAATAAGTCCGTCCCCGCCGCGCGTCCCCCTCCCCGCCCCGGCTCCGCCCCTCCCTGTTTTTCCCTGGAGCCCCGCCCCGAACCCCGCCCCCTAGCCCCGCCCCCCCCATGGCTGAGAGCGGCTCCATGCTTCACCCAAGCCCCACCCCTCCTCGCCCGGCGTCACGCTTTCCTCCCGTAGCGGTCCCGGGGCTCCCCCCCAAGCCCCGCCCTCCCCACCGCCCTCTCGGCCTTGCCACGCCCCTCCAGCCCGCGGCCCCTCCCCCGAGCCACGCCCCGTGCCCTGGCCCGGGCGCCGAGCGCGGTCCTGGGAAAGCGTTGAGGGAGAAGGAAGGGTGCCGGTGGTGGTAGGCCTGGACGGAGGGCTTCGTCCCGGGGGGAGCAGGGTCCTGGGTCAGGCTGCGGCTCGGGTGGGCGTGCGTGGCTGAGGCTGAGACTCCCGCCGAGCACCGGATATGCAGTGGGCGCCAGCGCGTTGGCTCCAGCTGGGGGCGCCTCTGACCCCCTACCCCTCGCCTGGCGGCCTGCGCGCGCCCGTGGCCCGAGGGGCGGCCAGGCAGGAGCTTTCTTCAACTCCTAACGGGTCTGCCCTTTCTCAGCGGAAGGCTGCTGGACGCCCGGTGTTGTCAGCCTCCTCGGTGGGCCGCGGGCGCTCGTCCTCGCTGCAGCGAGCACAAAGCGCCTGTGTTCCCGAGTGTTCGGTTGCAAACCAGAAGCTTTCACCTCAGCTAAAACACCAAACACTACGATGGCAGTCACTGGATTTTATAATTGTCTGAATTCAAACTCCTATGTGGAGTCTGAACTGTGACTCACCCCCTCTCTGTAATGAATGACCTTTTCGACCTTGGATTCTTTAACACTACCCAACCCTGGCATCACCTACACATAAATACATTTTGTATTTGTATTTGCGTTTCCCGAGAGAGTGACTGTGTGGTTTCCAGGAGTTGAATTTCATAAGCTGTTCTACCTACCCCTTTATGAAAGATGCTGACCACACAAAATTAGTCTGGAGTGCCACCTTCTCAGAGCCCAGGAGAAGAGTGAGAGTTTATACAAAAACTTCGATGGGAGTTCTTCCTCCTCCAAACCCCAGCGCATAGTTGTATATCCTAGCTGTTGGTAACTCTGGTTCTATGTAGGATGCCGGAGCAGCATGGCCTGATGAGCCATGCATAGGTCCGCCCCCAGGATCCTAGCCCCGTGAACCCCGGGCCGTGGAACCAGACCGTGGGAACTTAACCACCTTCCAGCCCCTATCGATGGGACATTTTTTACACAATTAACCTAATGATGAGATTAAATGTTTTAGCTTTGGTCTGTGAGCACTTTATATAGAAACACCCTGTAGAGAAACTTTAGGTGTGCTATATAGGAGACAAATAAAAATTACAAACAGCAAGGAGCAATTAGGAAGCCATAGCTGGGTAAGACTCTAGTCTTGTCAACCTTAAAAATAAGTCAGTTATTTTACCTGCAAAATAAGTTTATTCGGGAATGCCGAAAAGAATTGCAGTTCCGGAGTTACATGCTATGGCAGACCATAGGCAAATCCAGCAAACAAGAGAGAGGAACATCACATCATGGAGAAAAAGGAGGAAGTTGGGAGAGGTTGTTTAGAACCAAAGTCCATTGGAGGAAAGTGAGAGTTCAGTGTGATGATGGGTTCTCGTTGGCTTAGTTGCTGGGGTAGTCAATTTCCTCTAGTAGATGCAATGTTCATCTTTCCTATCACGGATGATTCTTTCCTATTGAGGATTCTTCTTGTTGGGGGTCTGTAGTTGATAATCCTCCCTGTAATAGATCTCAAGTGGTACTGCTTGAGTGGGAGCTCACCCTTCTGACTCCATTTTAAATTGTTTCCCTTTATTAATTTCATAGTCTCTATTTTAGCATTGCCCAGTCTCCTCATTCCCACTTCTCAGAAAACCAGACCAAGAACTGCCCCAGCTGCCAATACTGCCCGGTTTGGGGCAGGCATGAGCATGCTCTACTCCATCATTTTTGTTCATATTTTTCGTAATTTTCAAGATGGAAAATATCTAAGATTGTGCTCTGAATGCTTGTTTTTAAAGTTGAATGCACAGTTGTTGATCTTCATAGCAGATTTCCATCAGGGATCCCTTCCAACACCAAGGAAAATTACAACCTAAAAAGCAAATTTGCCTATTTTTACCCTCAAAATGAGTTTATTTGGGAATAGCCAAAAGAATTGCAATTCAGGATGTGCATGCTATAGCAAACCGTAGGCAAATCCCAAAAACAAATGAAGGGAGCTGCTTTAATAGAGAAAAATGGGGAGTAGGCAGGGGCTGTTCTAAACAAAAGTCCGTTGAAGGAAAGTAACGGTTCAGGGTCACAACGGCTTCTCATTGGCTGAGCTGCTGTGTTTCTCATTGGCTGGGCTGTTGCCGAGTAGGAGGAGAAATCTTCCTTTAGTAGTAAAGTAGTTTTACTTCCCATCAGAAGAGGCAAGGGTAGCTCTTTTCCTCTTTCCTGTAGTTGGCAACGTAGGACAGGGAGTGAGAGCTCCCCCTACAGGCCTCCCTGACTCCAAGTTAGTTACGTTTTCTTTTATTGATTTCCACAAAAGTGATGAAATTTCTCTTCGGGCTCTTCTCAGCTGCTCTTTCTGAACACCTCTCCCCCCTACTCCCTGTCTATACCAATCTGGGAGCTCAGCTATATCTTTAGATAAACTTATTATGGACCTCATCATATCTAAACGTCTAGAGAAAAAGACTTGTTTACTTCCTTGCCTAACTTCCAAATATCTCAAGGCAAAATCATGTGGTTTTTACCAGTATGAAGTTTGGAGCCAGGCATATTTTCCTAACTTAAAACATTGGCCTTGTTTCTTCCTTGCTGTGTGGATTTGAGCAAATTACAAATAACCTCTTTTGCCTCTGTTTCCTCAACTGTAAAATGGGGTGGGGTTTTTTGTAAGTATCTTAGAAGTTAACACACATGTTCTTGGCATTTGTGTTTTGCTAATATTATTAAAGACTTGCTCACCAATGTAGTCTCAAGTGATCACCTACTGCTTGGTACATAATAGGTGCTTAATAAGTATATGTTAATCATTGAATACTGAAATCAGCTTTTCCTAATGGATTACCGAGGTTCCTTATGCTTTAATGGTGATTCTCCATGGAAATGTAAAATAGTTCTGCACCACCATGTTCTGCATGCAGTCTACATGTCACCTCTTTCACAGGCCCTGAGAAAGCACATTAACTTTGGTGAGCCCCTAGGGTACCGTGCTCTGCCTTGAGAAACTTTCCTAACAGCCCCTTCCCACACCCGCCCCAAGGGTGCAGCCCCAGTGGGCACTCTGGTCACCAGGAGGCACATGCAAGGTGACTGCACAGGGGCCAGAGGCCAGAGGGCGGCAGTGAGACAGTGAAAGGGCACTCAGGAGAGACTGTCTCCTTCACACCTTGCCCGTTGTGTCTGTATTAATCTGGGAGTCCCCTCCCCTTATGTCCTTTCTGCAACAAAGCAAAGTCTAAATAAACGAAATGTCAAACAAAGTTTTTCTTTCTTTCTAACCACTTCTCCAGCTTCCCAGGTTACTTTGAAATCTGATCTAATTCTTCAGGGCCAAGACGTGCTGATTTGGACATTTGATAAGCACTTCTGTTTATTTTATCTAAATCCCTAGAAGTGGGTCCGGGATACTAATCTATTTTTAACCTCAGGTGTGGAAAGTTGATATCGTGAGCTGAATTGTGTTTCCCCCAAAATTCATGTGTTGAAATCCTAACCCCCAGTACCTCGGAATGTGATTGTATTTGGAGCTTGGGCCTTTAAAGAGGTGATTAAGTCAAAGTGAGGTCATATAGGCAGGCCCTAATCCTATAGGACTGGTGTCCTTATGCAGGAGGGAATCTGGACAAGGACACGTAAAGAGGGAGAAGGTTATCTGCAAGACAAGGACAGAGGCCTCAGGGGAAACCAAACCTGTGGACATCTTGATCTGGGACTTCCAGCCTCCAGCACTGTAAGAAAATACATTTCTGTTGTTTAAGCCCCCCAGTCAATAGTACTTTGTCATAGCAGCTCTAGCAAACTGGTATAGTTGGGAGCCAAGGAGAGTGCCTTGTGCATCACACACTTAGGGTCACAAGGAGCTCTCCTCAGCCAAGAGGCCTCCTGGAGGGCAGTGGGGAGCATAGCTCTCCAGGACAGAACGGCAGAGCCAATCCTGCTGCCCAACACCCTGCCAGGCTGCTCAGGACCACCAATGCAACAGAGTCGGCCAGTGCCGAAACTTCTCACTAAATTAAGTCAGACAGGTGATTAGAAACAAATGCTCTGTTTTCAGTACCACCCAACACTCTGGCCATGGCCCCGAAACAAAGAACAATCCTAGGAATTCTTGCAAAGCTCTTTTCCGGCAGAATTGTCTGTAAAAAAACTTCTCAGCAGGGTTCCCCCTCTCATTTATTTCCACTGCAAAACTGGAGATGCTTTTTCCTACTCTAGAGAAACCTCCAAAGCCCATATTTCCCATTGAGGAAGGGCTTAATGTGGTGGTCATTACCTCTCCTGTCGAGTGTGACCTGGTACCAGATAATCCCTGAGAACACATGGTGCACTGGCTTTCAGAATTTGCAAAGCTTTTCTGTGACTTCTATTTGTTCTTTGCTGTGACCTCCACTCACTCCTTACTGCTGTTCTGTGCCTGCAGATCCTACAGTCATAGATCCTGGAGGGGATGAAACCGTACTTCAATAATTGGTCCCACCTTCATTCTGTTAAACTGCAAGGCCTCAGTTGTGTAAAATAAATTTTCAATATTTCCAGTTCTCGTGCATCTGAAATTCTTCATGGTGATGTTCATGAAATTAACAAGACTCACAGAGCAGATATTTCACAATCCGTAGACTCAGAGGTACAATATGTAACTCTCTTTATTTCCCCATAACGGAATTCTCTTTTTGTCTTCCCCTCCTGCCTGATGGTAGAAAACTGAATTTACTTCCAGGACAGCTCAGACATGTCAGCGGTTTTTCAGACATTTCAAGCCTAAAATTCAATCAGTTCAGGGGCCAGCCCTGTGGCATAGTGGTTAACTTCGGTATGCTCTGCTTTGGCAGACCAGGTTCCAGACCTGGATCCTGGGTACGGACCCACACCCCTCACCAACCATGCTGTGGCTGCAACCCACATATAAAGTAGAGGAAGATTGGCAACAGATGTTAGCTCAGGGCAGTCTTCTTCAGCAAAAAAGAAAAAGAAAAAAAAGAAGGAAATTCAATCAATTCATCTTTGAGCTGTCCCCTTTTTCCCTAGATGGGTCCGTGCGAAGAGGATTCAGCCTTGGGAAAGGACATTTGCTCCTTGGATCTTTCTCTGTCCTCCACTAGCAGATGCTGAGATGAGACCTGCCCCATCCAGGCCGCTGTAGTCATTCCTTTCTTCCTCAGCCCTGCTGGCCTCTCCTGAGTAGCCCTCATCTGCGGTATTGATGGAGCATGCTAGTTTCTTCCTCAACCCCCAGCCCACATCAGGTCTCAGGCACCCCCTTCTCTGGGGCACTGCAGCTTTGGGAGGCTCCAGGGGAGGCTCCCAGCCTGGTCCTCTCAGCTTGGACAGTTTCTGTTCGGCTGGCACCCACTCCCCCTTGGTGAAGTGCGGAAGAAAACCAGGACGGCGCATGCTTCCCACTCCCCGCCGGAAAGGGCCTCAAGCTTCTTAAAGTTTTCCGGGAAAGGTCGGCCTCTCCTGCTGCACTCAGCTCTGCCCTTCTGCAGGAGGAGCAGGGGCCTGGCTTTATGCTTCAACTCTTCCTTCACAGCGCCCCTTCGCTCTTGCCCCATCTCCAATCTACTGAGTGTGGGACAGATTTTCCAAATTTTTATTTTCAAAATTTTAAAAATTTTATAATTTCAAAATTTTAATTTTCTTTGTCAGCACTGACCGAATGGGCAATGCTTTGTTCTGAGTTCCTCTTGCGATAGATATCCACTCTTTCCCTTAGGGTAATTCACCCGCAGATCTCACCGCTTGAATGGGGAAGGTTCTTGGGGTTGAAAATGAATGGAGGTGAGAACACACTAACAAACTCTTCATCTGCCTGTATTTTAAAACCAGATTGCCTTCAGGAACATGTTTCTCTGCCTTTTTACTGAAAGCTTATGCTCCATTTGCAGTTTTGGGTGTTTTTTTTTTTTTAAAGTTTTATTTTTCCTTTTTCTCCCCAAAGCCCCCAGTACATAGTTGTGTATTTTTAGTTGTGAGTCCTTCTAGTCGTGGCATGTGGGATGCCGCCTCAGCATGGCTTGATGAATGGTGTCACGTCTGCACCCAGTATTCGAACCGGCAAAACTCTGGGCTGCTGAAGCGGAGCGCGCAAACTTAACCAGTCGGCCACGGGGCTGGCCCCAAGTTTTGGGGGGTTTTTTAACCTAAAAAGGCAGTGTTTACATTACCTTGGAGAAAATTTGTTTTTGGTACACACTAAAATGCTACACAGTTATTAGTAACATCTGAGAGGAGACACAATGAGACTCTGCTGCATTTGATCCTTTATCAAAGCCCTTGACCTTTTCAAGTGGACCACTCCATGACCAACACTGAGTCAAGGAAACTCATCTCAGAGCTTTGTGTCTTCATTTCACCAACACTGGTTTTTCAAAGTGTCGACACCTGCACTTTCTTTTTCAGGTCATTTGGTAACTGCAGAAAAGGGGAAATGCCTGAATGTGCAAATCCTTCTGGGCCTCTTCCTTCACCTGATACATCTGCCTTTTTCATGTGTCCTTTTTTGTCTAAAACACTCCCTCTTTAGTAGTAGTCTGCATCTCACTCCAATGCCTAGAGTTAAACAATCAAATAACAAGCAAGCTTCCTGAGCCAGCTACGTCGTATGAAACATATGAAATGCTCCAAAACGTTCACGTGCCTTTTGAAGGCAGATTTTGAAGTTTCTTAAAATGGAATTCCTGACAACTATCAAAATCAGTCACATTTTCATTAATTCAGTGTTTTATATTATACTTTTAAAAATTTGATTTGAACTTAGGAACAGAAAATACTTTTTAGTATAGACATGTGTGCATGTGTGCATGTTCACATGTGTGTATACACACATGAAGAGGGAGCAAGAGTGAGCACATACACCATATACCTTTAGGAATATATAGCCAACAGAAGAAAGCTAGCTAATACAGGATCTCAGGAAGAACTTCCATTTCTAAGGCAGCCACCAGTATTAGGCTAGCACATTTTTCACCTTGATAGATGAATAGGATTTAAATGAGATGTGTGCATTCTACTTGTCTGTGTGATGAGAAGGAAATATGATCAATGCTAACATTTGAGTCTCTTCTGCTGAGAGAGGAACCCAAGTTAAGGGGAAAAGGAAAACAAAGATAAATTTCATAGTTTTGTGTGGATTTATCCTTATGTAAATCATTTGTCTATTCATTCATTTATTTGCTTACTCAACAGGGATTTCTTTATCACCTATTGGCCTTTGTCAGTTAGGGAAACAAGAAAAGAGAATGAGGTATAGGGTTAGATGTTATCAGTATTTCAGTTGGTGGCCCCGCACATTGAAGCTAGGCACCACCGAGGGTCCCGAATTGAGTTAGAAATGTGACAAGACCAGAGAAAATATTATGTTGGGTACAAGAAAAACCAGATGGCAAAACTGGTGGATGGGTGTAGCAACAGATTGTCATTAGAATGTCCTTGGAAATCAATTTGCAGAGTTAGGCAGAAACCAGAGGACAGATGCAGAATTCAGTCAGCTGTCGTCATCACATCAGCAAGAGCTGTGGTCCCAGCAATACGAAGAATATGAAAATGATGCAGAATTCCACTAAGTTCAAAGACCTAGAGCAGAAAACTTACCTTCCTTGAATGGGGTTGAGCATTGTTCCCTTGGCGAGGAGCATCTTTTAGCCATAGCAAGATACAGAATTAAGTAAAGAAATGCTAAAGGCAACTAAACTCATATCACCAGTATCTCCATGTTAAGGAATTACCTGTGAGTATTTATATATTAAATATATAAATGTAATCTAACGTGATTAAATACACTCAATTAACAAAATTTGCAAATAATCATAATAAAAAATCACTTTTAATAGTGATTGTTAAAATTTGCTAAATAGGATATGAATTAAGTTGAACTAAAAACTTAATAATCAAATATTAGTTTTTAATACCAAAGTCACCTCTGAATCTTTCCTCTGCACAAAAAACATCCTTGAGGGGCCAGCCTGGTGGCGCAGTGGTTAAGGGTGCATGTTCCACTTCAGCAACCCAGGGTTTGCTGGTTCGGATCCCGGGTGCGACATGGCACTGCTTGGCAAAAGCCATGCTGTGGCAGGCATCCCACATATAAAGTAGATGGAAGATGGTCATGGATGTTAGCTCAGGGCCAGTCTTCCTCAGTGAAAAGAGGAGGATTGGCAGTAGTTAGCTCAGGGCTAATCTTCCTCAAAAAAAAAAAAAAAACCCCTTGAGGACACTAAACAATACAGACTCATTCAACTCTCCTTCCAAGCATTTTCTCTCGGGGGTGATAGTGGTAGTCAGGGAGCCATCACTGAGACCCAAGGCAGAAAACAAACTCTATAGAGACACAGAGACCTTCCTTTTATTCCCAAATAGAAGAGCTCTACTGAAGTGATTAATAAAGTTAACTTCTACAAAGTCAATCCTACTTTTTCCTTATTTAGAAAAAAATCTTCTGTTTATATCGTGAGCATTGTTCTCAGGTCATCTCATTCCAGAACTTAATTTGCTTTTTGTTTGGCTATTTGAAATGCATTCTAACATTTCTGACAAATGACACACTTCAACCCTCAAATTGCTCAAGTTCTAGGTTTCTTATTTCAGTGTATAGTTTTATTAACTTTCATCCTATAAGACTTTTACTTAAGATGAGAGCAGGTTTCCCCAGGATTCCAAATAGTTTTGTGATTCAAAGCGAAGACTTCTGGAAACAGTGCAAAAGGAGAAAGAGGGTAGAGTCCACTGCTCCCTAAATCTCAGGAGAAAAAACAAGGAGTTGCATTCCGAGGAAATATTGTTAAGGGTAAGGCAGAGTATGAATATCTAGGTGTCGCATGCTCTGACCCACAGCAAGGGCGTTGTTTGAGCAAGCCTGGGGCCTCTGGTCTCAGAGCCACTGCAGAGCACCCACTCCCGTTAATCCCACAGGCTGACAGTTTGGCCACTCTCAAGCTACCTTAGGGAAGAGTGTAAATGTTTGTGGTAGGCTCAAATCTAAGCAGGGCCAAAGACAACTCATTCCTTGTTCTGCAATGTGAGCACGTAGAAAGTCAGCTACCTGGAAGTATTCTGCAATTCCCCCAGCAGGATGATAAGAAATCATAGGCATAAAGTCCAGCTGGGTCAAGGAGTTTATATCTCCTTATGCTTGGCTCTGCTGGACCAACGGCTCAAGTCAGCACCACTTGTCCTTGTGCCACGATTGCCTTAAACGTATCCAAAAATAGCACACTCCCCTCCCTACTGTGCAAAAAAATTATGCAAACATGAATAGATGATTGCTGAGACATTCATTTTCAATTGATTTGCAAAATTAAAAGATTGTGAAGACACAGACAAAAATGTAGAGTGAGCCTAATTTCCTTAAAATGAATACGAAAGAATTCAAGTGAGAAATTTAAAAAGTGAGAAATTTAAAAAATAATGCAGCATTATTCACAATACCAAAGGTATGGATACTACCTAAGTGTCTGTTGATAGGTGAGTGGATAAAAAAAATGTGATCTATATATATAATGGAATATTATTCAGCCTCTAAAAAGAAGGAAATCCTGTCAGTTCTGGCAACAAAGATGGATCCGAGGGCACTGTGCTAAGTGAAATAAGCCAGACAGAGAAGGACAAGTCCTGCATGGTATCACTTATACGTGGACTCTAAAAAAAAGGTCAAACTCACAGAAACAGAAGAGTAGAAAAGTGGTTGCCAGGGGCTTGGGTAGGGGCAAGGGGTTGGTAAAGGGTACAAACTTTCAGCTATAAGATGAATAAGGTCTGAGGATCTAATGTACAACATGCTGACTGCAGTTGAAAATTTGCTAAGAGAGTAGAACCTAAATGTTCTCACACAAAAAGACCCA